GTTTTCATTTTGGGATTTCTTTTAGGAAGTAATCTAAGCTGCCATGGGCTGGAAAAATGACTCTGACTTTTTGTTAGCTTTCCCACTCAGAATTCAGTTTGATATTTTTTAAGTTGTTGTACAGGGGGTACAACAGGAGAGCTTGGCATAAATATTGGTTTCACTCTGCCATCTTGGCTCCATCTCAAATTATTAAATTAGAATCCCTCATAATATAGTGACTAGTATGAAACACTATCCATTGAAGAGAAGACAGAGACCTTGGGACACCAGAGGGCTGCTACTCTAGAGACCACCCTGAGGGACAAGGAACAAACAAAAAGAGTCATGGAAGAGCTCATTTGGGATGGGGAGTAGGGGTGGGTAAGACCATGGGGATAGGAGAGGTGAAGCATATAATTTGTAAGCTTCCCATTTTAACTAATTATTCTTGATTCTTATTAGATGGTAAGCTTTGATGTCTGTTCACTGCAGTAGAAATATAAGTGCTCTTGTACTTCATAAATTTTGGAGCCATGGGGGCAAAATTCTGGTTGCCCCACCCTAGTTAAGTTTTGGGAAAGAGCCATAAGGTCTCAAGGAACAGGGTAGAGAGGCATGCTTTGAAGTCCTGCTGCAATAGGATCCCACTCCCAGCCAGTTCTTGATATTGAGAAAAGTAGTAAGGAAAGAACGGTAGTGTTTGTCACTTCTCAAAAGTGGAGCAAATTCTTGGTCTTTGACCTTTGAATTTCTATACTTCATCTCATCCATGATCATTTGGTTCTAATTCCCGATTCTGTGGAGGGAAAAGTGTCCCTCATGAACTCAACTTGATTCATTGAAGTTCTGGAAAGGCTGGCTGGATATTAGGGTGAGAGTTGGGACTTATATTTAAATCTTGAACTGGGTGTGGTTATTGTGGCTATAGAGAAACTGCCTGAAGAATTCAATCTATTTACAAGCCATCAGCATGGGCCACTGTAGCTGATGAAGTAGAATCAATTGCTGTTTCTATACTTTCTAAGGACACAATTATAACTTCATAACAGGGCTTCATTTAATTACTGGTAAGCTATGTAAGCTGAATAGGGAGAGGCATTTGTAAGTGCCAGGAGACGCATGCATTGTGAATCCTCTTACTTACTGTGCAGGCCTTGTTGGGTCATTTTCTCCTTTGGGTTATATGTTACAGTGAGGTTTTAGGTAATAATAACTGCCAACATTTACATAGGGCTTTAAGATTTGCAAAGCACTTCACATTATGTGATCTTCACAACAACCCTGTGAGATGAACACTATTATTAACAGATGAGGATATTGAGACTGAGAAAGGTTGTGTGACTTCCCCAGGGTCACACTGATGATAAGTGAGGCAGAATTTGAACCCAGCGCTTCATGACTCCAAATCCAGTGCTCTATCTACTTTGCCGCATCAGTGCTTCCAGGCGAGTTTTGCCCAGAGTGGTTTTTGCAGCAATATAGACTGTCATGTTGTAAGCCTGACTGCCTATCCATCCTTTTTTTTTTTTTGACTAGTAGCTGAAACGATTATTTCCCACTATGGAACAAATGAGAATAATAATCTCAATGCTCATGTAGGGCTCATTGTTTGCCTCCTCTGCCATGTCCAAAATATGGTATGAAGCAACAACAAATAATGTTGCAATTACATTGTACCTAGGAGGACTCAGCTCAAGATAATTTGTGAGAAATTGGGGTGCTTCATAAATATTTTAGGCTTATGAGAAGTGCTGGTATATATGGGAAGTAGACAACAATAGCTTAGAGAAAGAAATCATGAGATTGTGAAGTCACAACAAGGGCTGACAATTGAAATGAGATCAAAGATTAGAAGGGTAGAATATGTTCCTGAATTCTGGAAGGGCTTTGGTACGATGCCAGAGGCTGGAAGGAATTATAACACAAGAGAAGGCTACAGTGTGGAGACATTTAGGCTTTGTATGAACTATAACACAGAGAACGTCTGCGTTACTTGCTATGATTAGGAAACTCATTACTATTCCCACTCTGCCATACTAAGATGAAAGTGTATGAAAATATTTATTCTCTGGAAAAGGGGTCTAACAATACTACCTGCTAAGACCTACCATAGGCTCCAAACACTAAGGGATTATGAAAATTAATGTCAAATTCAAGCCCTAGGGCATGACTGTGAGTGATGGAGGCTACATAGCTCTTCAGGGAAGGGTGGCCCATTGGCAGCTGTCACAATTTCCCTTAACCTTTAAAATGAGTTCTCTTAGATTTCATTGATCTATTAAAAAAAAAAGGCCTTTTTATTTTGGGGGCTTTATGAATTATATACTATCAATCAATAAGCATTTATTAAGCACTAACTATATGCCAGGCACTGTGCTAAGCGCTGGGGAAATGAGTGACAATATACTATATACTGCTGTATAGTTTTCAGTGAAGTTTCCAGATTTTCTGGGTTTTATGATACAGAGAGGTGTGACATCTCCCTAATTCCAATGCACTGGAGCCATTTGTGTTATGTGAGGTTTATGTTTATGTTTAGCTATAGAATTTTCTCTGGGAAATGGTCTCTGTACTATAACTTAGACACTGCCCAGCTTCCAAATAGAACCAACTGTATTATTTGCATTCTTCTTATCAAGGTGAAAGAATTTCTTTTAATCTACTTAGGAAATGTGAAGTTTCTCAGTCCCCAGGACCAATTCATTCCTAAAAGAAACTGAAACTACGCTGGCTTCTCTTATCAAAATTTCATTAAATACGGTTTCACTAACCTGAGCCTTAGCATGACTGGCATACTAAAAACTATGTCACAAAGGAGGAACGTTGTATAATGGAACAACTTATTATTCAGACATGACTAAATGGGTAAACACCCCTAAAACATTTTGTGTCAAGGATTAATTTTCTAAAAACCTGGGGAAGAAGCTGTCACATAAATGGTGAAGCTACAAGAAGTTAACTTTTGTATCTGTCATAGACTCAACATTTATCATCTTGTACTGTTATTTTTCAAACCAATTAAATGGACCAACCCTAGGAAAACATGACAATTAACAGGCATCCTAGAATGGCTAATGGTTTTTAAAAATGCTTTTATAAAAACAAACCATTACCACTAGCCAGTACCTCTAGGCTTATTCATCAGTCATCTTGGACATAAACTAAAGCCTACTGAGAACACGTAAGCCTGGGGGACAAAGCATTCTGGATGCTTGGCTGCCACGCCCTTTCCTTGTCATTGTTCCACTTATCAGTATGAGTTGACCTTGCTTAAGCACTAATGGAGCAATTTCTGGGGAAGCAGACATTTTATCAAGCTAGACTGTGTGACTTGTTTATTACTTCTGTCAAGGCCTAAAATTATAATTAAGTTTTAAGTTGCCTAAATTCGTTAGAAAGCTAAGCTATACCTTTCATAAATTCAGCTAAGACTTAAGACCAAATAAATGTGGTTCATTGTTGAAGTGTCATCTCTAGCAAAGACCATCTAGATGCTCTCCAAGATTTTCTCCTTTAATTGGAGAAAGGTTTCAGAATTTAGAAAACAAAAAGTTGTGTGATTCTGGTCCAAACTTAATGCTGTGCAAGGGAGACGAGTATGGCAATTAGAGATAAGGTTTCTTTCTCTCCACAACATTTTTTTTTTACAAATGCCTTAACCAAAGGTATTTGTTGATATGAAATTGATGCTAGCATGGAAAAGATTTTTAGCACTTGAAGTTCGGTGGACTTTGGCCTGTACCATAAAATTGAGAAGGTTGGCCTTTATTTAAGCAATCTGCTACAACCACACTACCCTCTTTTCATGCCTAGATGTGGCCCTGTTATACCATTTTATTCTTCATTTGGCTTTAGGCACTGGCTACCCCTAAGTGTGGTTTCCAAGCCCCATAAGAATGTCTATTTCTGGTTATGATCTTAGAGATACCACACTGACAACTTATGAGGGCAACTCCCCTCAGAATTTCTGGGCTGGTTTTGTCTTGGCCGCCTTTATTACCTTCAAATGCTGCTCTCTGGCTTCTAAGAAACTAGGTCCTGGCAGGAACTCCTCCTGTGTATCTACTGCAGGCAACTTCTAAGCTCCATTCATCAGTAACACCATAATTGTTCCTGGCTCTTGGATGCCACTACTTTCCCAAGGTTGATGCTTTTTTGTGGAGAAAAGTTATGCCCTGAACTGATATCAAAAGCTGCATGACTTATAATAAAATGTCATCAGAGGCTTTTCAGTGTCTAGTAACACATCATCTCTCTTCAGCTAACATCTCTAAATTCCAATAGGTGTCCATTTGTTGACTATCAACTGAGCTTATTGGAGTTTAATTATTTGCATGGCCATGGTCTGTCAGAGGAAGGTACAAAAAAGGAAATGAAAAGCAAGCAAAAGTCAGAATAAGGGAGATAACTTCTGCCAGCAGTTTCATTTTCTACTCACCATAGAAATAAAAACTACCAACAGGCTTTCAATCATTTGGATTAGGTGGCAGCTGGTGAAACAGTAGATAGAGTGCTGGGTCTGAAAACAGGAAGACTCAAGGTAAAATCCAGCATCAGACACTAATTAGCTGTATGACCCTGGGCAAGTCAATAAGCCTCTGCCTCTCTTTTCTCAACCGTAAAATAGGGATAGTAACAGCACCTGCCTCTTAGGGTTGTTGTGAGGAGCAAATGAGATGATATCTATAAAAAGCACTTAGCACAGTGCTACATAAATACATATTTCTTTCCTTCATTGAGAGGCCAAGGAATTTATTTTTCAATTAACAAAGGACAAGAATAACTCTTTCTTGTGTGTGTGTATGTATGTATGCATGTGTGCGTATATATACCTACACACATATACATATGTATGTATGTGTGTATAGCCTGAGAATTCTCACTATGAAATGTTGGGTTTTTTTTAAATTTTCATCAATTTAAAAAAACTTTCAACACATTCATCATAGGACACTTATTTTTTTTTAAAAACAGTATTTATTTTAAGAGCAATAGCCATCAACAAAACAACCAAATAAGCGTAAAACATAAAGATGAAATTTTTAGCCAAGCTGCAGTCTTTAGCAAGGCAAAACAAACAAACAAAAACAACAACAAAGTTAGTTTGATGTTTCTGAGTGCTTCATACAGTGCTCTTTTGCACTGCATACGGTTCTCTCAGTTTTTTTCCCTTCTTTATTGCTTGAGGCTGTCACAGTGTTTTGAAGCATGTGACACAAAGTACAACATCAATATTAAACAGACAGTAGCAATATATTGTTTAATATGTGAACCCAGCATATGCATATATTTACATGAAGAATTTGAACTCAGTCTTACTGTCATTCAAATTGATTGCATTTTCACGAATGTGCATGAATTTCCTTTTCTCAACGGGCAGAGAAGACCTTTGTGATAGTTTCAAGTCAGCAAAGAAATGGCATCATTACCTTCCCTGATACACTAAACAGGTGTAAATTGCTTCTACGCCTGCAACCATTTAGGAGTATGTCCTGTCTCTTCAAGAGTCACTAGCATTTTCTCCCTCCTCTAATTAAATCTAAAGTCTTCTCGGCATCACTGCTAATATTCTTTAAAAAGAAATTTAGGATGAGGTTATCCTGGCCTTTCTCTTTAGTTGCTGAGTGACAACCCTGGCTTTGTAGTTATTCCAAGCTTGCTTTTTGATGAGGTGCTCCTTAATTGTGCCCTTTGTGGGATAAATGTTCACCAGCCCTATAGCCATTTGCTGGGATATAATGGGTGCTTCCATTAGAAAGATTTTTGTGGGAATAAAAATACACTCAGCTCCTTCACTAACCTAGAAAGAAAAAGCAGACAGAGATGTAGTTATTTTGGTGCATAGCATGGCAGTTGAGTGCTATAAGGACCCAGGGTGGTTTGGCTAGAGTACAAGAAAGGCCTCCAGAAGAACGGCCGGGTCCAAATTTGCCAAGGTGACGATGTCTAATCTTATACCTGAGAACACTTCCTTTCTTAGTTAAAAAAAATTCTATGAACTTTACTCAGTGATAAAAATTCCAAAAGACAATGTCTTTACATTTAGAAGAGAAAAAGCCATGCCGCTTCAGGGAATGTATTGCATGGAACACTACACGTGCTCCACGTGGAAAATGATGAAAGGAATGTTTGTTCACAGAAATAATTTAATGCCAGAAACAATTCCAAGACAAACTAAAAAGTAAAATTAAAACATTTGAAATGTTTCATTCTTTTTTGAACCTGCAATATCTTTCCCCACTGTAATATCCAGTTGGGTCTATGACTCCCAAACATGCCCTAGGGTTCATAGGGAAAAGTTTAAGACAGGTGCTGAGATGTAGTCTAAGTTACACCAGGAAGGACTTATTGTCACATGTTGCAAATATCACAGGTTAACTGACCCCTAAGTAACAGAAGATCCTTAAGGAGAGGGAAAACACACACACACACACACACACACGCACACATATGCTTCCTCTGACTGCTTTCCCAAGACAGACACACATAAATGCTCATTAGGGAGCTCATTTAGGAACCTGACAATTCTCAACCACAAATGCTTACTTGGGTGTGAATCACACTCTATATGCAACCAAGACAGCTGTAAAAACATACAATATGGACCAGCCTATTGCTACCCACAGTAAACTTTATTTTTCTTATTCTTTAAATCTCTTAGTCCACACCAACCCTCAAATATGCATAAGAAAGGGCTTAAGGACTGCTAGACCTGTAATTTTTTTCAGTATGGGAATTCCCAGGTGAGGAAACTCTCTATATCAATGAAGGCAGGTACCTTCTCTACAACTTAAAGTCTTTAAAAAAACTAGAATACTGACAAAGTAAGTGACTTGCCCAGGGTCATACATCTAGTATGTGTCAGAATTGGGGCTTGAACGCAGGTCTTCCTGACTTCAAGGGTGGTTCTTTACCACTACAACCTCTCTATAACTAAGAGACATTAATGCAGATGCCAATTAATGCAGAGTAGCTTGGTGCTCTCCCTTGATGTAGTGCTGACTCAACTTGCTGCCTGCAGGTTTGCCCTTACTCCCGGCCATGGTTCTAAGACATCTATGAACTTGGTAAGAACTTAGCATAATCGGGGTTCTAAATGTGAGGTTCTTTTTAGGGATACTGTGTGTATGTATATACATGCACATATACACACATATACATATACACACATGTGTATACATATAAACATATATATCCATATATATAGTCTAAAAATGTTTGAAAGATAATTTCAGAAGAAAAGTATTTTCTTACCAGCCTGAAATGTACATCACTTGGTTTCTTCATTTTTTCTACCAAGCCCTAAAATTATAAATGCTTTTTTAAAGGAATGAAAGTCACTGAAAACCTAAACTATCTCCTATCAATTCAGTCAGTAATACCTTATTTATTTAAGAAATTCAGACTAGATAAATATGCTTCATTGTTAAGGTTCTAATACTGCAAAGGTTAAATTTGTCCAATCTTTTTTTTAAAACATTCTCTTCTCCTTTGGTTTCCATAACATTAAATGTTCCTGGTTTCTATTGTAATAGTCTATGTACCTACTTAAACAATACTGAACGAATTATTATGATTCCTCTGCTATAGCACTTATGGTGAATCTCTATGGGCCAGCACAATGAGTCTAAATATTCTCTGATTTTTACCTCCCTTATGTGCCGGCTCCTCTTACTGACTCTTTAACTATGATCTTGCTCTTTCTTCACTACAGTTTTTACCTTGATGTACTGATGCTTCAAGTGTCACCCATTGCTGATGCCATCAACAATCTATTCCACTGAGAAAGGTCACTTTACCTCTCTGGGCCTCAGATTGCCTCTTGTAAAGTAAAGATCAAGGCTAGATGACTTTCAAGTTTATTCTTGCTCTTACATTGTAGAAGTCCATAGGTCAAATCTCTTAGAGATGGAGAAACTGATAATCTGGCACCATGCTACCAATCCCCTGAAATCTCTATACCACCGAGAATTTACAAAACCACACAAATGGAAAGAATGATGAGTGCTATTACAGTGGTACCACATGCAAGACTGATAATTATCCATTCTATTCCTATCTATTTCACTCACTCAATCAATATTTATTGAGGACTCACTGAAAGTGCTTTGAAACTCCTATGGAAATTTATTGTTATTATGATATGCAATGTATTGTACAAATGCTGTGTGTTTTCGTAGAAGTGAGACATGAGTTAGACCTTAACATCCTGACAGCAGCCAGGGATTACACACACTTGTCTTTTTTTGTTTATTTGTTTGTTTTTTTGGCTAGGCAATGGGGTTAAGTGACTTGCCCAGGGTCACACAGCTAGTAAGTATTATGTGTCTGAGGCTGGATTTGAACTCAGGTTTTCCTGAATTCAGGGCCAGTGCACCACTTAGTTGCCCTGATTACACACACTTGTAATCCCTGCAACTGGGGGAGGCTGACATTGGTGGGTCCTTGAGTTCAAGAGGTCTGAGCCGAAGTAGGCCTAAAGTTGATTGGATATTTGTATTAAGTGCAAGACCAATATAGTGAGCCCCTAAGAGTGGAGGACAAATTGTCAGGATTTAAATGGGAGACAACAGCAGCAAGGATGGGCATTTTCAGAAAGGGAGACATCATGTTAACCAATCCTATGAAATGTTTGAGACCATTATATATGGAACATATTTTCCAAAATTTATATTAATACAATTCAATAACAGTCCAATTTAATAAACATTTGGTAAACTCCTACTATATGCAATTATATACTGCATTCCACTGATGAGTCCTCTTTTTTTTTTTTTCACATTCCACCCATGTCTCTGGACTGATATAGTTGAATCAGAAGGGTATACCATGGACCCAATCTAACGTCACTTTGACTGGTTCTGACTTGGGGCAAGGCATGCAAGCAGCTACCGTGGAAGAAACTTTGGGAGAATGGTAATCAGACAAATGATCACTCCTACAGTGCCACATCTTGCCTCCTAATTCCTGTACTAAATAACCAAACCAGCAGGCAGTATTCTCACTCATGGCTGACCCTTGGTTCTCCAAAGATATCTTACATTCTACTTTATTCAATGTCTTTACGAAGACATTATGCAAAAGTTTTTCAGGGATGTTTTACAGGTATTTCATGTTTTAGATGTCAATTCAACTAGATTGTCTCTGAGGCCCCTTCTGACTCCGAACATTTATTATTTTGTGATAACAATGGAATCAAATTATATTGGGAAACAGACCCAATATAGCATTTTGGTCTAAGTTTTCTTGGTTTACAATTTGGACACCAGTCCTTCTCCTCACAAGAACTATTTCGTTTCCCCTATCCCAGCACTTGCCTGATTAACAGCACATACTGGCCATGCTCCAGGAAGGATAAAGCAGTATTATCTGACTCCACAAACAGAAGGCCTATGGCTGATAATGGTAAAACTGCTTGTTGTACTCCAAGTTTTTAGCAAAGGGATCCAGACCACCAAGAAACCACTACAATAGTCGGCCCAGATGTCTGAGGAACAGACTGCCTTGGAATATAATTTCCTACTCTGAGTATCATAGGATCATAAAATCATAAAAATCAGATGATTTTAGAGGTGAGAAAGACCTTAGACAAGATGTTTGCAGGCTTGAGCACATCCAGAAGAGAGAGACCAGGATAGTGAAATCTATCACCTGGGTAGTATTAATGTGAAAGCATCTGCAAACATTTTTAGGGGATCTCAACATTATAGTTATATTCCTGCTGGCCAAGGCTATGAATGAAATCCTAGGTCATGAAACAGAGAATAGCTAAGTGGCCTATATGGGAAGTTAAGCTCCTTATCCCTGAATAAAATTCAAACATCTTTGGCAACAAAACAAAATAAAAAAACCATACCCTATAAAGATTTATTGAAGGAATGTTTAATTTTCTTTTTTTTGGCTAGGCAATAGGGTTAAGTGACTTGCCCAGGGTCACACAGCTAGTAAGTGTTATGTGTCTGAGATCAGTTTTGAACTCACGTCCTCTTGAATCCAGAGCTGGTGCTCTATCCACTGGGCCACCTAGCTGCCCCTTGAAGGAATGTTTAGACTGGAGAAAGGAATACTTGGGGTAGAAGGACCTCTATCAGTCAATATTACTAAGTGCCTACTGTGTGCCAGACACTATGCTAGCCACTTGGAATATGAAAAAAAGGAAAAAAAAATCATCCCCACCATCAAGGAGTTTGATGGCAGTTTTCACATGTTTAAAGATTTTTTTCATATGGAGAAATGATTATATTCGTTTTACTTGGCCCAAAGGGTAGAATTAGAAATAACAAGTGGAATCGACAGAAAGATAGATTTTTAGCTTGATGTAAGAAAGAGAGCACATATCAGGAAATCAGTACGGACATGTGTATGGGAAAGCAGTCCAGCAGTGTAGATAGCCAGCCTTGGAGTCAAGAAGATTTGGGGTCAAGTAGCACTTGACACATAACATCTGTGTGACACTGAGCAAGCCACTTAACCTTTTGGTGTCGCAAGGCAAATTGCTGAGGCTAGAAGGAGTCAAACAGTTGCCCATCTGCATTGACAGGTGAAGTTTCTTCCCTAAAAGTTCTCTATTCCAGTGAAATCAAAGGAATAGGCCAAAAATAAAGAAAAATGAAAACTATCTGAATGGGCTCTCTCATGATACCTTAGGTCCTACTTCATTCAATGTCTTCATGGAGACATTAAATGAAAGCTTCTCAGAGATGTTTTAGCGGGGATTCATCTTTCAGTTATTAATTGAATTGAATTATCTCTGTGGTCCCTTCCAGCTCTGAAAGTTAATAGTTCTATGATAATAATGGAATCAGACTGAAGGCTAATAAGATAATAATTATGACTATGATGGTACATAAACTTTCTTTTCAAGGTCCATCTTCTAACTCATTTCATGAGGGTGTCATTCGATGGACTCTTAAAATTGTCATAATCTCGAATCTTGGCTTTTCTAGTAATAACCCATAACTCTAAAGAGAACTATCTAATTCTAGCTTCCTTATTTGGAATTTATTATTAGAAATACCTGGTAAAAGTTTTTGATAAATATTTCTAATATACACACTTCTTTAAAAGAACAGATTGGTCAATTCTTCTAAATAAGCATGTATATTTACCAAGCACCTATTATGCACAAATTGTTGTATTAGATTAGGTAGAAGATACAAAAGACATTATAAGCTGTAGAACTGGAAGGAAATTTTGAGCCCATTCTACAGATTAGGAAACTGAAGTCCAGGGAGGTTGTGACTTGTTCAAGGCCGTACAGCCCTTGTTCTTGAGAAATTACAACCTATCTCAAGGGAAATATTTAGTAGCTAGATTTTTCTGTACTTTTCAAAAAGGAAAAAGTAAATGGGAAATGAGCACTTAGTAAAAAAAAAAAAAAGAAATTATTACCTAGTTGGGAGACAAGTTTATATGTATGAAGATAGGCAACACCAAAAGGTAGTACATGTCTAGATGTCCTATGTGTGGTGTAGGTAAGTATTGTAAAGAGAAACAACACTTGACAGGCTGGTGTAGTCAAAAGGAAGTATCATAGAAGAGGTGGGATCATACCTCTCAAACTGAAAGAGACCTCAAAGGTAATTAGGTCCAACCCCTTCATTTTACATATGAAGAAACTGAAGCCCAGAGGGTTTAAGGGTTATAAAACTAGTTACCTTCAGTGCTGGGATTTTAACCCAAGTTCCTCTGAATTGAGAATCATTGTTCTTTCTATAATTGAAGTCTGGTTAGGATTTAACTAGGAGGGCAGCATCTAGGATCAGGAAAAGGGGACAATAAAAAAATATAGAGACATTAAAGAGCAAGGTGTACTTGGGTGAAAGTGAGTTGACGAGTTTACATAAATGGAGGATTCATGTGGGAGAGCAGAGGGAAATAAAGCTAGGAAGGTTCTTTGGGGAACAGACGAATGATGAGTATTGAAAGCTGAAGCTTTCTACATGGGGATCTCTCATCAGTAACATGATGAAAGCAGTGTCACAGCAATATTTATTACTCGTGTTTTACTGATGGATAAGATGAGGAAGGAGGGTGGGAAAGATTAGAAGTTAGGAAGCTATTGCAGTAGTCCAGGTGTGAAGTGATGAGCTGAGGTCATCAGTGGTGATGAAAAGAAAGGAATGAACTCAAGAGAAACTGCTTAGGAAACATCAATATGATTTAGCAATGACTCAGATATTGGTGATTTAATGTTAATGAAGAATTAATAAGAACAGCACATGGAACACTAACTGAATTTTTAGGGTGCCTTTCATAAATAAAAGATTTAGGGAACTTAAGGAAAAAAAATTCCTGCCAAAGGTGTTAAAAAAGGCAGAACAGAAATATTCAAATCTCTTAAACCCTATCCATCAATTTAAAAATTATTACTTTCATAAAAATATTTTTAATGTTTAAATTTTTAACCTAGTTTAGTTTGATACAGACCCTGGTTTGGTTTAATGTAGACTGTGACAATCCCACATAACAATAGATTTCTTATTACTCCGGTTTCAAATGAATGAAACTACAAAAGCCAATTTTCTTTAAATATGAATACAAATGAACACATTTGCAATGTAATTATAAGACAAAGAAACTTACAAAAATTTTTCCTTGTTCCAAATAATTTAACTCAATACCATAATATGCTGATGAAGTTACCTACCAAGAACAAATAGAAATGTTAATGATTTTAGTAGATTACAAGCCAAATTAAAGAGGTATATTGTCTTCAGGTATACTTTTGAACTAAAGAAATAGTGTGAGAAAGTAAAAAAAAACATAATAATTTGACATTTTGCTATAATGTAGCACCCCCTTTGAGCTCTACCCAACCAATTCATAATTGGTCCCCAGGGCTGATTATCCCAGTTTCAAAGTACTCTGGGGTTCTACATTCCTAAAAGCATAGCATGAGCCCTTTCTGATTTGCTTAATAGTTAAACAATTGAAACAATTAGTTCAAAGCATAAGCATTTACTGAAATGGCATAGCATGAATAATTGTGATAAAACATGTTCCCCATTAACCTGGGCTATATCCTGCCACATACCTTATGCCATATGCATAGTACCAGTGGGGAGAAGAGTTACCAGCATAGAGCATATTGTAGAGAAGCACATGTTGGGAATGAATATGACCAAGGAAACTCACAGGTCTAGTATATAAGGCCCTGATTTCTTTTCTCTCCTTATGGTATGCCCCTCGGGTACAGTATTTCTGCTGGGAAGATACCCTCAACTTGATTTCTTGGGCCTACTCTTCTCTGCAATTCGTGTAGATCCACACCTGTATTCTCTGAACTTTTGCTCTGCTGGGTATGGCAACTCTTACTGGTTAAGCCGCTTTCCACATTATTACTGATAGGAGATGGGAAAGGGAGGAGAAATCTCCTCCACTTGATACAGTCTGGAAGAGGACAAGAACTGGGCTCTTCCTCCATCACTGGCTCCTCTTGACTAACTCTCCTCGAAGTTCATCATGCATTTTAAGGCCACTAATAACGTGGTTGATACTTCAGTCAGCCAATGTTCAGTTACTGTAAAATTCCATTAATTTGAATATGGCAGTTCTTCATACATTCTAAATTAGTAAAGGAAAATGCAAACAATTCTTTACATTTCCTTTACACTTTTTCACATAAAAGGCTGAAAGTGGTTTAAAAAAATACTTTGCAAGGTTCAAATGGACCATTCTAAGTTTTACATACTTTACAATCAGCAAGTAGATCTCTTGGGATGTGGATCAATGTTTCATTTTCTTTACAAACTATGAATGAAACTACTCAAAAACTACTAAAAAAAAAAGAGGGACAACCTTAACATTTCATTTTCTTTGCTACCTGAAGTACTCAATTTATGGGGGTTCCATGGTCACCCCCTCTTCACAATAGCAAAATAAAAACCCCAAACCATTATTAAATCCATGTTTCACTTGATTATTAAATAGAAATATGAGATTATATATTAATCTTTAGTTGCTATTGTTCAGCATGTTAAGAATAAGAAGTATATATTTACTTATATTTATATTTAGTCACTATGAAAAATACAGAAATTCACAAAATTCTGGCAGTCTCATAATCACAACCAAAATAAATTCAAGAACAGAGAGAATGTGGATGTGTAGATAAGAATGAAACAAAATACCACATGTTGCAAGGTAAGAGTTGACCTATCAGGTTAGTTAGAATTTTTCTCTTTAAAAAAATGTAACTTTTGACATGTATGTATGTATATGTTTCGGTCTACTATTGTCAATGACTCTCTGAGGCAGCTACAACAATGGAGGTAACTTCTTTCCTATTAGCCCATTAGCAGCTGCTTAACAAAACCGGGACAGTTAAGTGGTACAGTGGATAGAGTGCTGGGCCTGGAGTTGGGAAGACTCATCTTTCTGAGTTCAAATCTGGCCTCAGACACTTAGTAGCTGTGTGACCCCTGGGCAAATCATTTAACCCTGTTTGTCTCAGTTTACTTATCTGTAAAATGAGCTGGAAAAGGAAATGGCAAACCACTCCACTCCAGCATCTATGCCAAGAAAACCCCAAATGGGGTCGCAGAAAATTAGACACAGATGAAACGACTGAACAACAAAGCAAAACTGAGTATTCTGTCCCCATTGCCTATAACTTCTGAGAACAAGGTACATGTACTCAACATGTAAATCAATTCTAACTTGGGGAAATGTTTTATTAACTTCAAATTATACATGAAAAAGAACATTTTCAAGATGCAGCATGGCATAGCAGAAAAAAATACCAGACTTAGAGTCAGGAAAATTGGATTCAAAATTCCAGCTCCAGCACTTACTAGCCTTATGATTATGTTCATCACTTAACCTCTCTAGCTGCAGTTTTTGCAGCTGTAAAATGGGGCTAATAACACTTAATAGAATCTTTGGACGGAAATCGTGCAAACCACAAAATGCTGTCTAAATGTATATTACTATTATTAGGCTATTCCTTGTGATTTTCTCTGTGGAGGGAAAGGGAAGGCTAATTGGCTGGTGGTCACTTCTGGCAGCAACTCGTAGCATCAGGGTCCTCCAGAAAGTACCCTCCCCTCTTTGATCCAGCTCAGATCACCATGTTGTCGTAGTGGTGAAATAAGACTTTGGAGAAATCAAAAGTAAATTTTTTTTTAATCAGGATGCTTTCCTTCCTCACCTCTGCCTAACAAAATTTCTTTTCTCCTTCAAGACTCAGCTTAGGCTCTCTTCTACACAAAGCCTTTCCTGACCTCTTCCCTCAAACCCCACAACTGTTAGCATCCTTCCTTCTTCAGAACTTCTTTTATTCACTGGACAAGGTGTCCTGAAAAATCTTGGTGCAGTTTAAACTTTAATTAAGCTTTAGTAACTTACAACTGCACTAAGACTTTTGGAACACCTCCTATTTGTGTATTCAATGCCTAAAACAGTGTTTGGCCCATAGTAGATACATAGTAAATACCTTGTTGATTGATTGATTGATTGACTGAGAAAAGGTTGAGGGAACCCAGGTTCCAGACCACTGCCAAGTTCAAAATCCCACTTGGAAAAGCTAGAGAAAAACAGAGTTATGTAATGATCTTGGAATTTTAAAGTTGAAGGGTCTAGAGATCACCTATAGAGTACACCTATGGAAATCATCTAGCTCAGGCCTGCCCACCAAAGGATTTCAGATGGCCTGCAAAAAATGTAGAGGATGTAAAACAAAGTAAAGATGTAACGAGTGCTTGTCTGTGCCCGGCTTAACCCTCTTTCCCCTAGTCACTATTGTGCCCGTCATGCAATGTGGCGGGTAGGTTGCCACTGTGCATTTTCTCTTGTTTGTCACATGACCCACGGCAACCAACCATCATCAGTCTGAGAGCAGTGAGAGCATATCTTTCACTGTGTTTTCGGTCATTACTGGCGTTGAAAGGGGACAAAGTGAGTGCAGCCGCGTGCCAGCACAGTTCATGTCCTCTATGCGACGAGCAGCAACAACCCAAGGGCTTCTTCCCCTCCCTCGCTGCTCGGCGGCCCTCCAAGCTACATGAGCGTCTGGCGCTCTCTCCAAGGTCAGACGTTCAGTTCAGTTCAGTATTTCTTTGTGTGTGAGCAGTTGCTGTGGAGATTTTTTGGTTCTAACGTTAAAAGTTTTGGGGGTGACTTTGTAAAATAGGTGAGAAACAGGAACAGAAGACCAAATCAGAACATAGAGTGTTTAATCCAGAGCAGACAAATAGATACTTGTTTACTTACATGAGAGACAAAATATTGGGCCTTGTTTGCAGAGAAGTAATAGTTATTCTGAAGGAATACAATCGTCATCACCATTTAGAATCAAAATGTCCTGACTTAAGCAAATTGGGCACCAACGAAAAACAAATTAAAGCATCCAAATTGTTGAAAAATCTCAGTGGGAAACAATGGTTTTTCAAGAAAGTAAACTCAGAAAATGAGGCAGCTACTAACGTTAGTTTTCAGATTTCTAAAGAAATCAATTTTAAACATGATTCCAGAGTATGATAAACTAATTGCTGACAAGAAGTATAATATGTCCCATTAACTAAATGTAGACAGTAAGAAAACCGGAAAAGTGTATTAAAACTTGTACCACTTAGCAAAATAATTTTTAACATTAATGTGGTTTCATGATAAATAAAAATCTTAAGCAATAAGTGTAATTAATTGATATTAACTGAAATTTCCCTTTTTAAAATATGGTTTATTTGCAAAATGGTTTAATCATTAATTAATTATAACTTTACTTGGAAAGTGAGCACTAAAAGCCTATCTGTGGCCTGAAGAAGTTTAGCCTATTTTAATTTTGGCCCCTACCTACTGCCAAGTTACACAGGTCTGATCTAGTCTAATCGTTTCATTTTACAAATGAGGAACTTGACTTGCCCAAGGTCACACAGCAATTTAATTTAGTCTACATCATGGTTCTAATTGGTACAGTCCCTCTGGACAGCCTAAACCTTTGCCCAGAATTCTCAGTTCTATCTATCTGTCAATAAAGGTCTTGACTTTGTGTTTCTGGCTTCCAGCAGGCAAACAGGGAACAAACTAGGCCAACATGGCAAACAGGAAGCTCTCAGCAAAGCAAGCTGCAGCCTTTGAGAAACAGTCATCCATGAGGTTATGATTTCCCTTTATCGTTTCATCTGACAAATGTTTTCCTACATCTGTGGTTCAATCCTCCATACATCAGGGTTAGTGTATGAGTATTTATTTAAAGTTCAGATGCATATGGAAATAAAGCAGGTGGGCAGGTAAAAAAAAAACCCAGGGGATTCCTCAAAGGAAGGAATTTTATGTATCCTATGATGCTGAACCTTACAATTTGATTATATTCCTTACTCTTCAGTGGGTCAGGAGCTTTACCAATTTGAAAAATAACTTCAAAATTAATCCCTGCTTATTCAATAGATAGTAACAAGCAGTTAGTAGCAAATTTGGGGAAAAGCAGCAATTGTAGCAATTACTTACTAACTGCTAGCTACTGGATGAAAACTACCGGGTTGCTTCCAAAATAACCAGCTGTTTGATTGAATACAACTCTACATATTTTACCCCAGACCAGGCAGTAGACACATTCTTTATGAAAGGCTGCTATTACAAGTGATTATTACCAGCATTTGTCACAGAGATCAGAAGACCTTTTATTTCTGTGGGGAAAACTGTATTTA